AGCTTTGGGGCCATAATCATCCTCAAATCAATCAAAGTCACCAGCAAGTGATGGTGTAAAATGAAGATGCAGGAACATGTCATTCTGCTACAAATATCTGCACTACAAACCCTCCCCTGTCTAGAGAGGCTACCTCCAGAGGATATAGTAGTGGCACAGGGCACATAGTGGACCCAAACCTGGCCACAAATAGCACCAACACTAGTTTAACAGCACACGTAATAGGACTAGATGCCATGGAAATTACCCAGTAGTTAGGACAATCTTTCTGAGTCCCACAGAATAGCTTGAGGAAAGTGTTTGGGTCCAAATATTTCTATCAATTGTCACTTTCTCAAGGTTCATATTGGCCACACGAGTCTAATCCTATCAGTCTGATATTATTGGTAGAACTTATTATTAATAGGATATTTGCCCATATGTGGTCAGGACTTAAGTATTCGATCTGAACTCAATATGGTTTGGTATTGATCCAGAGGAAAGAGCACCACCTACTCAACCAGCAACACCTCTTCTTCCACCATCTGGGTTTTTCTTGTAGATCTCTCCTCTAACTTACTAACCAGGTCAGACCCTGCTTAGCCTATGAGAATTAATGATTTCTCAGTGCCAAGTGATATGGCTGCAGGCCAAATGTCATAACTCCACCTTCTGAGCATTCATGTGGTCCCTCCATGACACATTTGTGCCAACCATCTGTAAGAGTCAGAATTCCTAAAGCCGCGTGATAATGATTTGTTACTTTGCAACTGCCCACTGTGGTGGCTAAAAGCTTTTAGTTTTTAAGGTTCTAAATCCTTTGAAATTTTCAGAGCCACTGTTGTATTTGTGGAGATTAAAGGACTGTTTGTAGATAAGGGAAATGTTTTTGTTAAATTAACTGCAATAATTGTTAGCCTTTTCCTCTGTTTATTAGTAATAAATGATAGTTACTCTTCCTCTTATGATTTCAGTCTGCCTACATGACTGGCAATGAGCTTATCATTGATGGAGGCTGGAGCTTGTGACTTACAAAACTTTCATCTGAAGTTTTCAATGGAAATTCATAGTACAAAAGGCAAATAATGAAGAGATTATCACATTTCTCTGTTAATATAATTTGCACCATTTTAATGACTAAAATGATTGACCTTCAAATAAAAGTCAGTGTATTTGCACAGCCATGCAGTACCTCTTTTTCTAAATTACTTTGTCTGATTTTCTTTTGCATACTTTACACAGTAGCAATAAAGCACGCATTATTCAACTTTGTTTTTTGTGGAAGCTCAACTACACGAAGAACAGCAATTGGATGTTTAAGGTGTGCCAACAATATTATATGTAGAACAATATGTGAGTCTCAATGGAAAGAGTTAGATGCCACTTACTCTTGGCATCTGTCTCATTTGGAAGTGAAACATTCTTGTTTGGATTTCCTAGTAGCCTTGGGCAATGGAGGAAATGGGAAAAGGCTGCATTTGAGCCTGCTGAGCTGGACCTGAACTGTGCAACAGCAGCCCAAAGCAGAGTCCGTGGGAATATGCAGATTTAAAAGTCTGAACTACATGAAATGCTGACCAAAGTGTTTCTGGGGGTAATGGGCTCTTATTTCTTGCAATTACATATTAATTCTTGCAAATCAAATGCTAGAACCCATCTCTCATTTTCCAAAGATTTAAATCTATTCCCTTTTCCTGTTCACCATCATTAATAACATGTTGTACAACCCTAAGAGCTGCTAGAAAGCAGCTCATAGTTCCTGAGACATTAGAGAGGAAAAGTAAATGTATTCCAAATACCTTAAAAGGCTGTGGGACAAACTTTACATGTAGTGGAAATGATGGGAATGAACCTGAAGCAGTGTTAAAAGACAAGGGTCCTGTGGTGTGTTAGTATACAGACTCATGATATGATTTTGCCATCAGTAAAACATTTTCTCCACTAATTACATTAAATATGTGTTACTGGAACCCAAGTGAGCTAGTTGATGTTAGCAGCAAAGAGAAGAACTGTTTCATTACTGCCATGGCTTAGTTTCCAAAAAACAGGCTTGGCTGCGTTACTACTCACGGTAGAGCATTCTATACCTTCCCTGTATCCTATCCCCTGCTGGCCCTCAACAAAACACCCATGTTACTATGCAATGGCAGAACTTTGTGTTAATCGCTTTAGGAAGAAAAACCACAAGAAACTCAGTGCAGTAAATTTGCTTTTACAATTTACTGAACACAGTGAGTTAGTTGTACAAGGACTAAAGGTTGAATTAATTGATTCTGCCACTGATCATGGAGATATTGTCAAGGGTAAAAAAAGGATGTGTTATGCCAAAATTAGGTTTTCTCGTGCTTGAACCTACTGGCATGAAACTTCCTTGATTATGAAAGGCCAGTGGAATGCATGGTAAAATACTACTAAAAACAGCCAGTTCAGTCACATTGCAAAAATGACACTCATTCCATTGTAGCTGAGTTATTATTTATTATGATTTGGGGGGGGGAGCACGTAGGAGCACTAATTATGGACCAGCACCCCATTGTGCTACGTGCTGTACAAACACAGAACAAAAAGATACTCTCCGCCCCAAAGAGTTTACAATCGAAGTAAAAAAAATCGACCCTGCCATTACACTATTTCAGCTATGAATGCCTATAAATGTAGCTGCTTAAGAAATAATTGCTCTGTAATTATTAAAGAAAAATTGCTGCTGCAAAGGTTTGAAAAGGAATCTCCAGAAAGCATGGCTATGCACCGATACAAATCTATCGGGGGCGAAGGTATGGGAGGGTGTTGGTATGTGGATGTGATGATTGCCTACGTCTCCTTTTAAACTTTACTCATGCACCAAAATAAGAGACCTGATTTTTGAAAGGTGCTGAGCAATGTGCAGGTCCAATTAAAGTTAGAGGAATTCAGTATGTTGAAGTGGCATCTCTTATAAGCACTAAATTCACTTGATATTTTTCCCCTTAAATTTTAAGGTTAGGTTCCTTAGTCATTAAGACTCGGATAGTTCCCCTGCATGGTGCCAGCTGGCAGTGCGTAAAGATCACTGTCTCAAAAACCGGGTATTTTGACTGGGAATTTGGTGGGAAGGGATTTATACGCATGGAGTCATACCTGCATTAAGATAGGAATGGCTGCCAAAGGGACATACTGCGGTAATATACTATTTGATCTTTGATCTAATTGGAAAATAGGTAATGCTTAGTAGGCAGGAGGGGGACAGGAGGTTTATACTTTCTATAATCATGGTTGATCTTCTGCACAGCAGATATTTGAAATATTTGACACAAAACAACCCCATTGGCTTGTGTGGATATAGCGTACAGATGAAGTGGGGTTTTGACAGATCTTCCTCCAGTCTCCAATTAAAAAGACCTCTTAAGGGGGACTGGTTAAAATTAGGGCAAAAAAACAACCTAGACCAAAGTGACTGGGTTAGACTTCACTGATCTGAACCCAACTGTTGCAAATTCAGTATGGCAAAACAGTGTTTCCACCGTTTATGAATTTATCATCAAGGCCAAAGTCCTTGTGCTGTGATAGTGGTCATGGCATATTGTGTGAGAAGAGGAGCGAGCTTCCTGTTTTAGCTCAGCATTGTGGAAGCTCATGTTGCCCAATCTGAAAATAAAAAATCTAAGTTTCGTGTGTGTGGTTTTTTTTTTTTTCTGTTGACAAATGCAGAGGTCATTGAACTCTTGGAGTTCTCAATCAATGTCCTTAGGCCACCTGGTGTTGTAGTAGCTGAAACCAGCTGCATATTAATGAATTTATCCTGGAAGCACTCCTGTGCGGTAGAGAAGTAGTAGTATCCCCATTTGACCAATGATGAACTGAGGTAGAGAGAGTGGTCATATGAGAACCTGGTAGCAGAACTTGGAATTGTATCCAGATAGTCCAAGTCCCAGTCCCTTGTCTTTGCTAGAAGTATCTTTCACAGATAAGATAGTCACCACCAATATGAAATATATTATGAAATCTGAAGTTTTCTAGGCTTACATGGGTGCATGCCTGTTCCAAAATTCATCACTTAAACCTGAGCTATGTTTATATTTTTATGGAGCTATGCAGACATTTTCCCCCCCATGGAAAATTTTGACTTTTCATCAGAACAGAAAACCCAGATGTTTAGACCCAAAATTGACTAGTCGGAATGTTCCGTGTTCAACAGACGCTTTCCATGGAAAACTTGATTTAAGCAAAAGTCAAGGGTGACAGAAAATGCATGACCTGCCTTAATTTTTCCATGAGAGTGACGAACAGCCCGGTTGTAACCTATTTTCTTTTTAAAATCTAGCTGAGCTTCCCAGCCGTTTGACACCTAATTTGCTGTGTGATTTTGAGACAGTCACAGAACTCCTGGGTCTCACTCCGTCACACCGAGTGGAGGTGAGGTTCTGCTAGCCAGTCTCTGTAAGGGCTAGCTGTGTTAGTCTGGATCTGTAAAAGCGGCAACGAGTCCTGGGGCGCCTCATAGACTAACAGACGTATTGGAGCATGAGCTTTCATGGGTGAATTCCCACTTTGGCGGATGCATTATGCATTCACCCACGAAAGCTCATGCTCCAATATGTCTGTTAGTCTATGAGGTGCCCCAGGACTCTTTGTCGCTTTTACAGTCTCTGGAAAGTGTTTTGAGATCCTTGCCTGCAGTTATTTCATTCTCCTGCATTCCCACTGACGCCCTGCAGGGTTCAACTCAAACGCCCTCTCTTCTCCCCCCAACCCCCGCTTCTGTCGCTTTCTTTGGGCTTAGCCGCTTCGCTGTACCGTACGCAGGTGGGTTACATGTGCATTTCCCGCGCGTCCCCTCCCAGAGGCCCGACTCCCATTCCGGCACACACAGGGCTGGGGTTGGGAGGAGAGAACCCGCTCAGCTGGTTACCCGGGTGAGAGAGAGCCACGGCCTCCCGGCCAGCGGCTGGTCCCTGGGGGATGCTGCGGGGGCAGGACGCCTCGCAGCTGCCAGCCACCCTGACTCACCTCGCAGCTCCCAGCCGGCCTCACCCGTCCGCGGCTTTGTCTCCGCCTCTTCCGGGCGGGGCTGGGCAGGGCCCGTTATCCGACCAGCCCTGCAGCGGCGGGGTGAGGTGGGGGGCTTCAGGCACCAGCTCTGGGTCTCCGCCTCCCTCGCCCCCCGCCTGCTGGCTGGTCCCGGCCCAGAGAAGAGGAGGAGGAGCCGCGGCCGGCGGGGACCGTCGTGTGCCCGGCCCCTCGCTAGTCCTGCCCGCGTGGGCCGCCCCGGCATCAGTGGGCGGCAGGAGCTGCTGCGGGCTCCCAGGTAGGTGTTTGCAGCGGGCTGGGGGCGCCCCTCGGGCTGAGCGGAGAGCGGGGGGACGTACCCGGCTCAGCAGAGCGGCTGGGGACGGTGCCTTTGCCTGGCTGCCTTCTCCGGGGATGACTGGGTTTTTATTCCGGCCCTGAGCGAGGCTGGTTCATGGCTGTGAGTTGTCTGCTGCTTTCTCTGGCTTGACAGCGGCCGGGGCAGCAGCGCTGGTAAAACACGCACCGGCTGCCCGCGGCAACCGTCCCTCCCTGTCTTCCCCCTTCCCGGATGAAATGCTGGGGTCGTGCACCCCTCACCAGAGGGAGTGTGTGTCCCAGAGGGGACTGGATCAGAGAGGCGCTGCTCTCAAGACCGGACGGTGTGCGCCTGGATCCTGCTTCTGTGATTTCTGGCAATGGCTCATTCATTCAATGCCCGAGACTGAACTGAAGGAGCCTAATTTGGTTTTGAAATCGTGCCTCCATACTAGGGAATGCCTTGTACTTAATTTAATACTGGATTGAGAGCCAGGGAGCCTGGGGAGCTATCCATTGTGCCTCGGTTCCAGTTTGGAGGGATCACCTCTAAGTAGTAATTCAGTCTCCTTGTCCCATCAATTCTTGGCTTCTCCCCTGAGAGCACTGTCAGCCTGGCATGTTGTAACAGAGTCATCGGGAGGTGGACTCCTGTCTGCTAGAAACTGTTCCAGGGTCATCGTTAACGTTAGTTAGGGCATCTACATGTTGTCTAATAGTAACTTAAGTCCTGCTCCTGCAAAGTACACAGGGCTGCCTTGGACTCAGGAGCCCATGCATACAACCCACCTTGCCAGGTTGAGGCCTTAATCACAGTGCCAATGTCTTCTTTTCTCTTTGAATTCAGAGCCTTTAAGCTGCCTTAGTGGAAAATAGCAATATTAGTAAATTCCGTCACTGAAGAGTTATGGTGGAAATTATCGAAGGGGAGAGGAGGGGAGGAATTGGTAAAGTTTACCTATTTCCAAAAATGCTATTACTTAATATTCTCTAATTTAACATTAAAACTAGTGGATTAAATCCTAGCACCATTTAAATCAATGGAAGTTTTGCCATTGACTTCAGTGGGGCTAATATTTCACCCAATATAAGAATAAAAACAGAAACATCAATTATGCAAAAGAGTCCACAACAACTCAGGTCTACAGACAGAGACCAAAGAAAGTGGCACAAATGCTGACGCTGGAGGAAGCCAGCATCCTAAACTAAAAAAAATGGGTTAATATGGAAACAAAAGGAAAAAGAAAACAAAGGTGCAGCAAAAATGTTATTTTATTTTAAGGCATATAAAAACTGCATATATTTTCAGGTACGTCTTTGCTGCCTTTGAAGTAGGTTTCCTATTTGACTAGTTCAACACAAACACCCAGTTTCCTAATAAAGTAATAGAACAATCTGTCTTTGTTCATTAAGTCAGTCTTCCCAGGGTTGTTAACATGACAAATGAGAGTTGATGGATGAGTCTGGGAGTTACAAACTCATTTATAGCGTTGTACCATGAGGAAGGCTAATTCTTGGCTCAAAGGTCTGCGTTCCAGCCCAGCCGGAGTTTTGAGTTGAGTGGCACTTCGACTGAGACAGAAATTCAGCCAAAACAATTTGATAGATTTCTAGAAACTGCCATTCACGCCCCAAGGGCTGACGTGCAGAAAGTAGCTGTTAACAGAGAGTGGGTACAATTTCAGCGTGCTGGAGACCAATGTTAGCAAACAATTTGATTCAAACCTTATCTTCAGATGTGTGTGGAACGCCCGTTGGTTTAGATAACTGAAAATAGGGTAAATGTGCATTAGAGCCTGATTTTGCTTCCAGTGAATGCACTGACATATCTCTCACTAACTTCAGTGGGATCAGGACTGGGCTTTTAATTATTATATCCATGTTTAAGGGCTAAGTAGAAAGAGACTTCAGCCCACAGAACCTCGCCAGGGAGAGGGGTGTAAAAGAGGGGATCAGAGCTCCGTGATAGGTCTCCCACTTCATCGGAAAAGGTCCTCTGGCAGGACTGGGCTTCACATGGGGTGCGATGGGAGAGCCATGCTCCGTCATGTTCCTACCTTTACCCTAAAACAGGGGTAGGCAACCTATGGCACGTGTGCCAAAGGCAGCACGCGAGCTGATTTTCAGTGGCACGCACGCTGTCCGGGTCCTGGCCACCGGTCCAGGGGGCTCTGCACTTTAATTTAATTTTAAATGAAGCTTCTTAAACATTTTAAAAACCTAATTTACTTTACATACAACAATAGTTTAGTTATATATTATCGACTTATAGAAAGAGACCGTCTAAAAACATTAAAATGTAGTACTGGCATGCGAAACCTTCAATTAGAGTGAATAAATGAAGACTCGGCACACCATTTCTGAAAGGTTGCCAGCCCCTGCCCTAAAACACAGTGCAAACAAGCACACGTTTATGCTGCCTGAGTTTGTCGTCTTCTTCTCTGGAATTGCAGGGGACCAAATGACCCTTGAGGCAAGTGTCTTCAGCCTCTGAGAAGGGAGGTAGCGTGCTGCTTAGCTGAACTGGAATTCCTCCTAAGTGATTAAGGAGCAACCCCAACAGACTGGCTGTTGGACACTGAAGGTTGGAGTGGGGTGATGATATCTACTGCATTCCATCAGTGATGCAGAGACACCTTCCCACCCACCCCTTCTTGGGTTAGGGGGGGAAGGTGTCAAGATACCAGCAGAGACTGAGAGAGCGGACAAGGTTATTTTGAACCGTCTGTTTTTGTTGAAAGCACTGGGAGAATTCTCGTCGCTCCTATCAGAGTCAGTGTCCTCTTTTTGTTGTTTGTTTTGAAGGAGAGAACATTCTAATGGAATGTTCCACCCCCCACAAAAGCTAACTGTGCCAGCCTATTGACTGGTGGCTGTTCCGAGAGGTGCATGAGATGGCATGCTTAATAAAATGAGTGCTGCAGAAAATTAAGAAATCCTGCAGGCTGGTTTGTTGGTAATTAGGTAACTACTGTATTAAGATGCTCAGATGCCACATTTGATGAGGACAGTATAAAAACCCAGACAGATCAATAGATAGTTGAGATCTTAATTCAGATGGGTTTCTGTCATTCTTAAGGACTTTTTTTGTTAAATAGCTCTGACATGGTTTGGGGTAGGGAACTTAACAGTTGGCAGAAGTTCCCTTCACTACCCCCTTGAAATACAACCAAAATTTGGCCAAGTGTTAGGCTGTGGAAAAGCACCATTTGTAGCTGCACATTATTAAAAATAGTTTGATGCTTGATTTTAACTTTCTGAAAGCTCCAGTTGCACTGCGCATGTTTGCAGGACCCATTGAGCCCCCTGCATCATATACTCGTGATTCATGCAGAACTAGAAGTCCAGACAGGACACAGGAAAATCTGATTCTCTTCCTCCTCTTGGTCCTGTGGGGCGGGGGAGTTGGGGGGAGAATTACTTATCAGAATCATACACACAAGGGGGATGACTTAAGGTTGCACAGACAAACATAGTTCTGACTCTTTCCACTTCTGAGGTCTTGACTTTGCAACTTCAACAATGTTCTTCTAATGTAATTTTTTTAACAGAATAAATAGATATAAACTAGATGCTCATGGACACAAGCTTCATTACATACTTTCTAATATGTAATGTACAGAGTTATTGGTGTCTATGAGGCTTTCTCTTTTGTATGGGGAAAGAAAGAAATATGACTTTAAAAAAGTCTTGAAACAGGCGAATATACGTGGTGTGATTTGCTTCTGCTTATTCTTCAAAATCTTTGTTGTTGTAGGTTTGTCAACATGGTGAAGGAGGATATTGTGGAGGAGAGTGAAGACCCAGAGCTGTCTGTACAGGTGGGAAATGGCACAATTCCCATGAATCAGAAAACTCAGGTAATTGCATTTGTATCTGTATTCAGGCCTCTCCTAGTACAGGGTTACCCAGGGCAGCTCTCCTTTCTCCAACTTCATTAAAATACTGAAGATTTTTACAAGGGGAACTTGTACCCCCTCAATTTGGGCCTTTCTGACATTTACTGTATATTCTATAAAGTGTTTCCTTTGTGGGTTTAGCTGCCCGAAATCAGTGGTCCTGACTTCAGTTTAAAGTGTCAGGTGAATTAATTTACATATTACAAAGACCCATCACCCACACAGAAATCTTTCAGGTGGAGTTAAGATTACTGCAGTAATTCTCAAACAGTGGACCACAGGCAGTTCACTGGGCAGCAGCTGCTGCCTCTTACTTGTTTTTTCAGCTGCTAAAATTGCATTAAAAAACAGCTTGAAAATATGACCTACACTCCTAATGTTGGTTTTTCCATGTAGTAAATTTCTGTAGTTGCCACAGAGATGTTATGCAAATGTGACTGGGACTGGCAGGTGGCAGAATGGAAGGGCAGCTGGTCCACAAGCAAATCTCTCTTAAACTGGACTCCACGCTATGTAAAAATTTATCGAGAAGCCCTGATCTACAGTTAGCAATGTTCTAGTAAACGTAGTCCTTGGGTAGCTCATTGCAAATGTACGCAATGCTGCTTCAGAGAAAGCTCTATTGTTTTTTAACTCAGGAGGTAACTATCTTGGACTGCAAAGGTGCAGATGGAAATGCACAAACGGAAGAAACTGCTCTATTGCACAACCGTGCAAGGCAACTTCAGGAACCGCTGACAGAGTCAAAGCCTCCAAGGAAACTGAGGCAAATATTTGCTTGTCCTCCTCAAGGCCTCCTTGCCCGAACAGTGACAAATGGTATGTAAGGGACAGGCTATGCAAAATGTTTAATTCTTTGACATAAGAGTAGACATGCCAACATTTCATTTTCTAGATGTGGTAGCTGACAGCTTTTCTGTAAACAGTAAAGAAACATGAAGGGACTGTTACTTTTGACCTGTCAGGCAAATCTTTAGGTGCACTGATGGAAGAATTTTTATGTAGAACAAGGACTTGCATTTTTAGTGCCTTTCCTGCCCCACCCCCAGCTCCTTCTGTCTTATGGTTTATCTTCATATTAGAAATTGTTTTCATCAGAAACATGAGCTCTTCATCCTGTTTGAATGTTCTCACCCACAAATGAACTGTAAAGAAGATTATAAATAATTACATTTCTGGCAAAATAAATGGCTTGTGTTGAAATTAGGTCATGAATACACTAGTTTGCAGAAGAACCTTCTTCTGTTACTTAGGACTCAGTCCAGCACTACATACCTAAGATTTTGCAAGCCTAGGATCCTGGCCCCAAGGCAGATTGACCCATTCAATAGAAAGGTTGGCCTGTTATAGAAGTCCAAGATAAAAATTCCGGGCTGGCCAAGGATTGCAGAGCTTCCCAAATGAAGGCACTCATGTATGTGAGAGCCTTCTATCCTATGCTTTGCCACTCTGGATTCACAGGCTCATACATTTATTACCCCACTGCCTCCTTCTCCTGGCTGCCTGGGCCTTGTCACAAGAAGAAGAATCTCCAACTCTAAAATGCAGTAACTTCCCTGAATGCTTGTGTGGAGATGGTGCAAGAGGGCAGGGATGGATCATTCTGCGATTTTTTTTTTTTTCTCCTCTTCCATCTTCTGTTTGTGTCCATGCTTGCTTGCTCTCCCCGGCTGATTGCAGATCAGAGCTGCGAGCCTGGAAGAACAAGATACCTTCAGGTTATGAACTATCTGTATTTTCTCCTGCTTGACTGATGTATCAGGGGAAACTCTCTGCCCTGCGTTAGGTTGTGTGGAGACCCCCTGTGCATACCCCATTGCTAGGGATTGTTTTCATCGTGGAAGAATCCAGTGCATAAAACTACCCCGCTGCAATTTTCTTTTATTCTTTCAAAATGAAACTTGAGCTATACTCTAACAGCAGTAAGCCATGCCAGAGTGTATGGTAGGAGATTACTGGTGCATTCATCAAGCAGCTGAAGACGTCACAATACAGGCAAGATGTGTGTTAATAGGATTACTCACCTGCTTAAATTTAAGCACATACTTAAGTGCTTCTCTGTATCAGGGACAGATGCTCGCTCAGCACCTTGCGGTACAGTTAAGCCTCTTCGTTTTCAGTTTAAACTGATTTTTACCAAAAAATTCCCAAGTTTTACAAAAGGTATTATTCAGTTGTTTCCAATTTTCACCCTACTTTTGTATCATTCAAATATATAAAAAATAACTTGTTTTATTAGGAAAATATAATACACTGCATGAGATATATGTATTATGATAATACATTAGTCTGTGTGTATAGGCAAAGTTGCCTGTTGAAGTAAGGTTATGTATTAGTCTAGAAGATACACACAGTAAACCAACAGGCACGCACACAAGCTCCGAAGTGTGTGCCCATCTGAACATACTGATGAATCTCATGCCCACCACGTAACATTTCAAGCTGTTAGCAGATCACGATCTAAAGATCCGACATACTAAAATGGGAAGAAAATGAAAGTCTCTGTCAGAATATGTTTCAGAACACAAGGAAGTATTCAAAAGTTTTAAAAAAACAAAAGCAGGAGAAAAGGATGCAGTTGAGTGTATGCACTGCAAACGGTGTGGCTCAATTATTACATATAAATATTTATAGGCTAATAATTCTAAGTCTACAACAGTAAACTGTTTATTCAAATGAAAAGTTGTATTTAGGGATTAGAGATGTATTGTTTTCTTAAACTCAGAGGTGGCGTTGTGTTCTGAGTTCTGTTTTAGCTCTGCAGCAAACCACATTGATGAACGGAATTCAAAGCATTAATCTACTGAATACTGTTCTCCCCTGTCTTTCCATCCACCAAAATAAATCCCGATATTTACCCAGAAAAATAATTAATAATTTTTGCATTGATTTTCACCTGTTTGTTTGGGGTTTTTTTTTGTTTTTTTTGTGGTAATAAACACTGATAAATTCCCAGGAAAAAATAAATAAAATAAAAACTGAAAACAAAGGGTCCTAAGTACGGTGCATACACTATTATGACTTAATGTCATATTTTAGCACCAACAAAATCAGAGCTCCAGCTCAAAGAACATCAAAGATTGTTGTAACTAAACTGACATTAAATGTTTTATTTCTAAAATCAAGCAGATAATACTTTCCCTCCCCCCAAAAAAGCATTTACAAAAAGAAAAGGAGTACTTGTGGCACCTTAGAGACTAACCAATTTATTTGAGCATGAGCTTTCGTGAGCTACAGCTCACTTCATCACTTCATCACATCCACCAATGTGATATATGCCATCATGTGCCAGCAATGCCCCTCTGCCATGTACATTGGTCAAACTGGACAGTCTCTACGTAAAAGAATAAATGGACACAAATCAGATGTCAAGAATTATAACATTCATAAACCAGTCGGAGAACACTTCAATCTCTCTGGTCACGCAATCACAGACATGAAGGTCGCTATCTTAAAACAAAAAAACTTCAAATCCAGACTCCAGCGAGAAACTGCTGAATTGGAATTCATTTGCAAATTGGATACTATTAATTTAGGCTTAAATAGAGACTGGGAGTGGCTAAGTCATTATGCAAGGTAGCCTGTTTCCTCTTGTTTTTTCCTACCCCCCCCCCCAGATGTTCTGGTTTAACTTGGATTTAAATTTGGAGAGTGGTCAGTTTAGATGAGCTATTACCAGCAGGAGAGTGAGTTTGTGTGTGTATGGGGGTGGGGGGGATGTGAGAGAACCTGGATTTGTGCAGGAAATAGCCCGACTTGATTATGTAAAGAGTTGTCACTTTGGATGGGCTAGCACCAGCAGGAGAGTGAATTTGTGTGGGGGGGTGGAGGGTGAGAAAACCTGGATTTGTGCTGGAAGTGGCCCACCTGATGATCACTTTAGATAAGCTATTACCAGCAGGACAGTGGGGTGGGAGGAGGTATTGTTTCATATTCTCTGTGTATATATAAAGTCTGCTGCAGTTTCCACGGTATGCATCTGATGAAGTGAGCTGTAGCTCACGAAAGCTCATGCTCAAATAAATTGGTTAGTCTCTAAGGTGCCACAAGTACTCCTTTTCTTTTTGCGAATACAGACTAACACGGCTGTTACTCTGAAACCTGTCATTTACAAATGTAACTCTAAAGTGAACTAAGCTATTCCTTAGAGATTATTAAATATATTTTTCCTGTCTTCTTCCAGTTACAACAGTAATACTTGTTTGGGCTGTGGTGTGGTCCATCACAGGCAGTGAGTGTCTTCCGGGCGGGAACATATTTGGAATTCTGTTTCTCTTTTTTTTTTCTGTCATTGGAGGTAAAATTTTTGGGCTCATTAGAATACCAACACTTCCTCCTTTACCTCCTCTTCTCGGTAAGTATTGTGTGATATATTCTTTCTCTTTTTATTCTTGCATAGTTTTGCTTAGGAACATAGGAATTGAAATACAGGATCAGACCCAATGTCCCTTTAGTCCAGTGTCCTGCTTCAGACAGTAGCCAATACCAAATACTTCGTAGGAAGGTGTGGGGTAATCTGCCCACACACCAGTCTCATCCTCATCTCTAATAAAGATTGGCTGTAAGCCATAATGCACAAGGTTTAATATCCCTTCTATAACTTTCATTCCTGCCACTGTGGCTACCCTGGAATTTGAATGTAGGATTTCTGGGACTGAAAGTGAGATCCATACCCCTAGGCCACCAGGTTTCAGGATAATAATGAATTCATGATACAAAGAGTGTTACTATTAAGCTGTCTTGCATATATCTCAAAAGGAAGTTTCTAGTACTTTAAGAATCTCTTTCCTTCCCCCACCTCCCCCAGCAGACTGTTTCTTCCCCCTTTGTCTGTCTTGACTCAAGCTTGTCACCATGGTTGCTGACCTGGGCTCAGATTTTCCCACCTGTGACTCAACAATCCCCTATCACAAATGATTTTAAAATGTGCCTTAGTTTCGAAGTATAATGAAACCCAAACATTTCAAAATTCTCCAGGAAGAAAAATTCCAAAAAAAAATTCCTTTTTGGGTTGATCAAAACGTTTTCTTTCCATTATGACTTTTTTCCTTTATATAATATAATACAGAATAACAAAAACTTCAAAACAAAATGTGGTTTCAAAACAAAAAATTGAAAAGTTTCATTCCAAAGATGTAAAAATGAGATGTTGTGAAATGGGATGTTTTGTCTGAATTTTTTGTTTTGTTTTTTTTCTAAATGTCGGTGAAATCAATACAATTTCATGAAGTGTTTCAGTTTTGAGAGAACTGCATTGATAGAAGTGCAATGTTGTATGAAGTGGCATATAGCATTAGGTATAGCAACCTTTAGACAGTGAACTTGTTTTGCAAGAATTTGGATTCACAAGTAGGAAGAGATTCAAATGGATAAGAGAAAGGAGAGAAAATTTTGCAAAGTCAACCCCTTTTTATTTTTAAAGCAAGTTTGAGCTACTGTTTCTGACCATTTCAGTTCTTCTTACTTTTTGTAAACTACTCCTTTGCTCAAAAGTTATGATTTGGGAACAAAACTACTTGTCAGGTGGGTAATGCTGAAGAACAGAAGCATAAGCAGGATAGCACATGCCTGATGAGATGCTTTTGACAATCTTCATGCTTAAGGTTCCTAATATTTGAGGAAAATCTGAAAAACTCTAGGAATCAAGGAGGGAGAAGGGAATATTAAATGTTCTTTGTTTTCGCATGAAAAATGGTGATAAAAATACAAGGACCTGTATTCATTCATGGACGTCCTTGCCTTTGATTTATCCCTTTTAGAAGGAATTCGGTCCAATGCAGATGACTTCCTACTACTTAACCCTTACAGTGAGGCTGGGTGGTGCAATTGCCAGCAGATCAACTACATGGGGTCATATTGCAGATCTTCTCTGTGCTGTGAAGGGAGTCTTTATGCCAGCCCTGCATAGATTAAAGGAGAGTATCGCAATAGAGATGGTCTTAAGGGGCTATGAACCCCATAGTTATGCAGGTCCTGTGACCCTAACATGGCAAAAGAAACACAGAGAAACTGTAGCCAGTGTGCCAACCCATAGGCTGCTGTGATTGCACAGTGAAGCACAAATACATCTTGGTGCTGCCTTTGTTTCTCCTAGAGGGCGTGGGAAGAAGAACAAACAGTAGCTATCAGGTAGACTTGTTCCAGGTCAAATACAAGCCATAGCCAAGGCCTGTCGGTGCACAGCAGGCAGTCTGTGAGCAACATGAGCACAGTATTGAACCCCCCCTCCCAAAATCTTCTTATGATTTTATATTTCGTAAGATAAATGTTAAGCTCTGCTACAAAATTATATGTTTGCCGGTTCAGGCCCTAAGATAAGTCTGTGTTTAAAAATACCTTTTTTGCAAAGCACTTCAAGTAGCAAAACCATCTAACTGGAGACTGCAAAACAAGCATTTGCAAAAGGTTGAATTTTCCTTGTGGCTCAAATAGAAGATAGGAGGAACTTCAGCTGTTTGCTCCCATGTGACTGTTGCATTCATAAGAATTTTAAAAATCTGTGATTTAATTTTTACACATACTATATATTTTAGGCCAGATTTTCAAAGGAGCTCAGTCTGCACCCAATCACTCCCCTTTAGGCACATGGATAAGGGGTCAGATTTTCAGACAAGCTCAGCTCCCATTGACCAATGGAAGCTCCTGGCTGTTGAGTACTTGTCAAAGACTATGTCTACACGAGAGACCTTACAGGAGCACGGGAATATTGATGCACCTGAACACTGTAAGATCTCATGTGTAGCCGCCTTATGCCAACGGGAGAGAGCTCTCCCATCAACGTAATTAAACTACCCCCCAATGAGCAGCAAAAGCTTCCTTTCTTCTGTTAAAAAAAAATGCAGCACTTAAGCATTTAGTTTTTGGATTGGTCCTGCTTTGAGCAGGGGGCTGGACTAGATGACCTCCTGAGGTCCCTTCCAACCCTGAGATTCTATGAAAGACATAAAGCTGCCTACGTTCATGGTGGGCTATGTAGTCTAGAATGGGCTGCACTTGGATGGCAGGTCTTAATTCTGATGTCTGTCACCAGTACCATGTGTGCTCAGTGGGTTTGCTTGTTTAAGAAAAACAGGGTTTTAAATCAGGTCTCAGTATGTTTCTTCCTGCTGCCCATCTGATTGTTTTGTGTATCTCACTTCTTAATTTCATATGATGCATGACTTTAGATTTCTTTGCTTTTATTAATCCTATTTCTCAGCACATGATTGCAGGACATAAGATACGATTATAAAACTCATATTGACAGCACTGACCCCCTGACAGGGCGGCAGTATGATCTACTGGATAGGGCACCGGACTGAGAATCAGATGTGGCTTCTAATCCTGGGCTGTGCTGTGGAATGAACCATGACCAGCTGGTTGTGGAGTGTCTACATTTTCATTTTTAGTGATGTTAGCCAACTTGAGTTACTTAATAATCAGTGAATTACAGCACAACAAAAATCTTTAGTGAAAATAGGGCCTATGTGTTTGTACAGCACCTGGTACACTGGGGGCTCATTGTTGGTTGAGGCTTCTAGGCACTACGGAAATGCAAGTAATAACAGTAATGTAAAAAAGGCCTAAATGGGGCATTGTTGATCAGTGGAACTGCTAATTCCCTTTGGAAATTAGAAAAATTAGAAAAAAACATTTTTGCAAGAGCCATCAAATTACGTAGCTATGACCACCTCAGACAGAACTTCTTAAATTTATGTGCTGACTAAAATTTCACTTAGTTTACTGTTGATGACAAATTTACATTTAATATAGGACATATCCGCCAACATTTCACCAATAACAATATTATCTACCACCAGTTTGGTATGAGTCAGTCAAACCACATCACTTCCAATACCCTTTACCTCTTAATTTCCTCCTCAGTTTCCTCTTTGCTTCCTGTCCTCTAATTTTTCAATTTTAATCTCTCTGGTTCTAGAGTAACATCTGTCAAGTAGGCCACTAACACTTGAGAGACGTATTCCTGTCCCAGCATAGCAGATCCTAATTTTCTCATTGAAGTTTTCCACAAAAAATTCTGACTTCACTCTAGACGCTACTGAAATACAATAATAACAACTCAATCAAGAAATGCTTGCTTGCTTTCTTTTTAGGGATGTTGCTTGCAGGTTTTCTCATCCGAAATACCCCATTCATCAGTGACATAGTCCAGATAAATCCAAAGTGGTCTGCAGCGCTGAGAAATATTGCCCTTTCCATTATCTTGGTCCGAGCTGGGCTTGGCCTTGATCCAAAGGTACGGTATCTAATGTTTCTGGTGTAAAAACATACAAACAAACAACCCACTAACAGTATCAAAATATTTGATCAGCTGTTTGCTTGAAATCAATACTGTACCAAACTATTAAATCTCATAAGTTTTGCATTTTATAGCCTTGTTTCTGTTAGAAGTGGTTTAAAATACAATACGATATTGTTCTTATATTAGTGAAGGTTAAGAATATCTGTACCCTCTCAGCCGGATATATAGGATTGGTGAGCGTTCCATTTTGTGATATTTTTTTCCCCACTAAATAAATAAAATTATTTCTGTTTTGTGAGCCAGACAGCTCAGTTACATGCACTTTATCTTGATTTGCCAAGTTGTGTAAATTGTTCCATTTGTGTAGTAAGTTTTCCTGTAAAGTCTATTGTTCTGCTAAGAGATCAGTCAAAGGGAGAAAAAAGTAAAATAAACAATGCAGGGATCCAGGACACTGAAGAGAAGAGAATCTCCTTTATGATAAGACACTCTGGTGAAAGGAAACCCTACAAGTAATATTTTTTTATTCTTTTATGTGAGGATATTAACTGTAAAGAAGAGTCCAGCTGTCCTAGATGAAAAGATAGCAGACATCGGTCCTAATAAATAATAGATCCCATGATATTTCTATGATCCCGTCCCCAGCCACTACGAAACTTGATATCTCCAATGCTAATAAAAGAGGGGAATAAAAAAGGGGGGCTCCTGCCTGGTTTACAACTTGACCAGCTAAAATCAAGCTATAAGGTGTTGTCCTGTTCCTACACTTGAACAGAAGTAGAGGATATGTCAGGCGTAACTTGCACGTGTTAGCTAAGCCTATGTAAACTCAGACACTTTTCCTAGTCAAGATAAGATCTGGATAGGAAGTGTCCATCATGACATGACACAAGATTTTTCTTGAGAATACTCACTTATAGTCAGTCCCAGAAAATCTCAGGTTGCATCATTTCTATTGTTACACTCTAAAATGTCGGTTTTTCAATGTAGCATCCTATTCTTTATCAAGACATTCAAGAGGGCTTTTAAACATTGTGTTTGGGCACATCATTACACACAGTTGGGCTGTCAAGTTCAGCATTTGAATTCTTTTCCCTCCGTGATGTGGTCATTTTCAGACCAAAGGAGACCAAAGCTAGGACTAATTCAAAGATGGGCTCAACCCACTAAATGTCCTAAGTCCTAGCTTTTACAATAGACTGTACTGTATGATACCATGTCACTGGGACTTCAGTAATAAACCAGAGCAGATCTTTAGCTGCATTCCTCTTTATGAAATTGAAGGGTTATGTTGTTAATGTGTAAATATATTTCTATTTCAGGCTCTGAAGAAGTTAAAGGCCGTCTGTTTAAGGCTTTCTTTCGGGCCCTGCCTCACTGAGACATGCGCAGCTGCTGTTCTTGCACACTTTCTGATGCATTTGCCATGGCAATGGGGATTTATATTAGGGTAATTTACTCTCTTTTCTCCTCTGTAAAAATTCAAAATGGCTTAATTCTAGCTGATGCTGCCTATCTCCCTGCTAGGATCTTCCCTTGAACTAAAGAATGCTACAGCTAGCCCAGTGCATCATTCATGCACTGCCAGGCAGAAGACATGGGTTCAGTACTAGTTGCCTGTGTGTTTTGCAGTGGTGTAATGCTGTGAAAGCTATACCATGCCCTATGGCTGGTTTGAGGGGAAGGTGTTCATAGGCAAGGAAGGGAATCTAGCCTCACTGCATTAGACTGGCAGGGATGCTGGTTGTGATGTGGGCCCTTGAGCGTGAAGAGTTAACATAAACAAAAGAACAATGGGGTGGTAGAATCCTGAGGGCTTTGTCTGGAATGCAGAGGGCCTTTAGGAGCAAAAAGAAATGTTGTAGCAGGCATTCTGTTAGTACGTAGAAATACTGGAGTTCAGAATTTCCCCTTAAAGAGCTACCTATAGCGTAGCCATGCCGTTAGAATCGGATATGTCCTCTACTCCTTGTGGTGACAGGGAGTTTGTTCATCTTGTTCCATCAAGCCCCTTATTTTAATGTCACCCACTTGGGCACGTGACAAAAGTGGACTGTAGGTTTACACAGACGTAATTAAAAGGGGATTTTCCAGTTGAGTATTTTATTTTTAAGAAGGGATGAATGAAATTCTGTGTGTTTAGTTTTGTTCTAGGTGCTGTCTCTCCTGCTGTTGTGGTCCCCTCTATGCTGATCTTGCAAGCAGGAGGGTATGGTGTTGAAAAGGGTGTCCCAACCTTGCTAATGGCTGCTGGCAGCGTTGATGACATCCTGGCCATCACTGGCTTCAACACATGCTTGGGCATGGCCTTCTCTTCAGGTACACTACCTAATCCATCGATGGCAAAATCCAGGGCAAATACAAAAATATGATAAGGAATCTGCCGTCTGTTATGGTCAATTAGTGATAAATCTATAGGGGTTCGGTTTATATACTGGAGACTCAGATAATAATTATGTGTGAAATTACCCATGTGCAGAGCAAGTGGCTGATGCTAATGAGATATGCAGTAAAGCATATTAGTATGTGCTGGGACCTGGGAAACCTGAGTTTTGTTCCGAGTTCCTCCACTGACTGGCTGTGTGACCTTCAGGAAGTTATTAAGACTCTCTGTCCCCATTATTTTTATTAATTTATAATTCTGAACACGTAGGTGTGACAAGCAATTCCATCAGCATTTTCCCTCACTCTTGCTTCCCATGTAATGTTAGAGAGTCATTTGGGTGGATCATCTTCTTCTTTGCAGATATTAGACAAACTGTGATATTTACAAAAAAAGTCAAATCTGTGTTTTTAAAAAAAATCAAATAACTGGTTTTCACCAAAACAAGTATTGGTGGGGAAATGTCTCAGTTGATTAATACAATAGAAAACTTCCCAGATTATAATTGCAAACTTTGTGCCCTGAAAGCCTCTCTGACTGTCTTAGGGGAAGAGTTTCCAAGTGGCGTGTTGGAAGTGGGTTGCTCTTATTCTTGTCACTGTCACTAATTTGCTGCACACTGTGTTAAATTTCCTACCACCTGTCATCATTTGCAGCTGCTGATTGTTGATGATAGGGTAAGGATTGCCTATATGGCCATCTGTCAAGGTTCCTCCCCCACTCTGAACTCTAGGGTACAGATGTGGGGACCTGCATGAAAAACCTCCTAAGCTTATCTTTACCAGCTTAGGTCAAAACTTCCCCAAGGTACAAAATATTACACCCGTTATCCTTGGAATGGCCGCTACCACCACCAAACTAATGCTGGTTACTGGGGAAGAGCTGTTTGGACGCGTCTTTCCCCCCAAAATACTTCCCAAAACCTTGCACCCCACTTCCTGGACAAGGTTTGGTAAAAAGCCTCACCAATTTGCCTAGGTGACTACAGACCCAGACCCTTGGATCTTAAGAACAATGAACAATCCTCCCAACACTTGCACCCCCCCTTTCCTGGGAAATGTTGGATAAAAAGCCTCACCAATTTGCATAGGTGACCACAGACCCAAACCCTTGGATCTGAGAACAATGAAAAAGCATTCAGTTTTTACAAGAAGACTTTTAATAAAAAATAGAAGTAAATAGAAATAAAGAAATCCCCCCTGTAAAATCAGGATGGTAGATATCTTACAGGGTAATTAGATTCAAAAACATAGAGAACCCCTCTAGGCAAAACCTTAAGTTACAAAAAAGATATACAGACAGAAATAGTTATTCTATTCAGCACAATTCTTTTCTCAGCCATTTAAAGAAATCATAATCTAACACATACCTAGCTAGATTACTTACTAAAAGTTCTAAGCCTCCATTCCTGTTCTGTCCCTGGCCAAGACGACTACAGACAGACACAAACCCCTTTGTTTCTCTCCCTCCTCCCAGCTTTTGAAAGTATCTTGTCTCCTCATTGGTCATTTTGGTCAGGTGCCAGCGAGGTTACCTTTAGCTTCTTAACCCTTTACAGGTGAGAGGAGCTTTCCCCTGGCCAGGAGGGATTTCAAAGGGGTTTACCCTTCCCTTTATATTTATGACACCATCTCATCCCTATAAGGATTGTGTACGTTTCCCTTTCTCCCTGTTGCTCATCCCATGAGAAAACCTGTTAACCAGGCCACTGTCATAAATCAGGTTGTCTCTTAAGGTTTATCTTCACTAGTAAATAAGGCAGAGTTAGAGCACAAACCTGAAGTCATGTTTTAGGGCTGTGAATTAGGAGTGGGATTTTCCGAGTACTCGGCATTAGCCTAATTCTGCTCCCATCAAGGTCAGTGGTAGAACTCTCACTTCAATGGGAGCAGAGTTAAGTCAGCACTAAGCGCTTTTGATGAACCCAATTTGGGTGCTTTATAAACTGAACTAATTTTTGAATGCATCTCTAAGTGGCAGCCTGTTTAAGTGGCAACAAGAATAGTGACTTGTTCAAGTGAGGAGGTTTAGCGGTGAAGGGGAAACATAAGCCAACATTAAGGTCTGGTCTACTACAGAGTTAAATTGATGTAAGGCAGCTTACATCTACCTAACTATGCAAGTGCTTACACTTAAATATTGCTCCTGCCGACGTAAGTGTCACACTATGCCAACTTAATAACTCTATCTCCATGAGTGGCATAGCGTCAAAGTCGAGGTAGATAAATCTATATAGTGGCCATGTAGACGCTGTGTTACTTACGTTGACTGTTACTGGCTTTCAGGAGCTGTCCCACAATGCCCCTGAAAGTACAATTGATACCAGGTGAGGACGTGCACCACCGACACAAGGAGCAAAGTGTAGAGACGCACAAGTGATGTAATTACTGTGGCGGCTGTATGCCGATGTAAGTTAGGTTGACTTAATTTTGTAGTGTAGACATGGCCTAAGAAATACTATATCATCAATATTTGTAGCTAGAAATCAACAAATGGCTGATCTGGTGAAAGTGTTTGCAAATCAAATATTTTAGTAATTTTGTGTTTCAAAAAGTAACTTAACTTTCTTAGGACATGCATGTGACTTCCATACTGTGTAGGTGAAATTCTTCCCTGCCCAAAAAAACCCTACAAGGTGAAAATGTCTCTAAATCTTCCCAGTATGAACTCAGAGCTCCAGATACCATCCATCGTGGGGAAGCGTTTACAGCCACACATAGGAGGCAGAATATGTCATATAGAAATAATATGGTATCCAAGGGTTCATGGGGACATCATGTCAGATTGTGGGGCACCTGTGAGAAGACCTGGCGTGTCAGTGCTGATCCTCTTCTGTGCCTTCCCCTGACAGCACTGCTCACTCAGAAGCCATGCTGCCAATGATTCTCTCCATTCAGATTGCACGTGAATCTCTTTCTTAGAAAGCAGAAGGGAAAATCAATGTCGTCGTGAGCACTGTTAATTCCCACACTGATTTCCTCCAAGGGGCCTGAGGGAGGCCTCCCATGTTCAGCTCTGCCCCTACCTTGGGGTTGATCTACCCCCACAGAAAAGACCAAAGTCTCAACCATATGCAGATGAATATCTGCAATCTTGCAGAGAGAGCATGCGGTTCAGCATACTTCCATCCCCATGCATAGCATGTGAGCCCTTGAATTCTTGTTCCTTTTCTCGCCTCTGTGCAGAAGAGCAGAAGCTCTCACCATATAGTTTAAAACTACAACATTACCGTGAATCTGGGGGCTACGCTAATCCCCTTATTTCTTGTCCAACATTTTGGTTGCTTCTTTCTGTATTTTTTCTTGAAGAAGGGATGGTGACTAGTGGGTGGTATCAGAGGGGTTGTGCATAAATACTTGTGTCTAAGCCCTCTTCTCTTACTGTTCACGAACAGGTTCCACGCTTTACAATGTCCTCCGAGGGGTCCTGGAGGTTGCAGTTGGCATAGTAGCTGGTGGGCTTCTAGGAGTATTTATTCAATATTTTCCAAGTAATGATCAGGTAAAAAAACCCAAAAACTTTTCTGAAAAGATACCACCTAAGGTATCTCGCTAAGAGTAGAGACTGGTTAGCAGGAGAACTATACAATCCATTTCCTAACTCTAAATGGGTATGGATATGACTTCATAGAGAATGGAATGTGTCTAGCACCAACGGTTGTGAATCCTGTGAATTTTTATTATTTGTTATAATGGATTACTTGTTTGCTGTTAGGGTAATGATGTGTGATTTCATAATCCTCCAGTGTTCTGGGAGTTTAGACCCTTAGACCTCACTGGGAGTTTTCACGCTCAGCAGGAATAGAACCTGGCCCCGATTTCAGCCAATAATGTGAACATCAATTAGATTGATGTGCTTCACATATGTACAAGAGAACATTCCTTTTTATGTGAGTTGCTTGCAATGGGCACAATATGCTGAACTAAGAGCAAAGTGACAATGATAGTGCTGAGTTTCCTGGGTTTAACTGGTTTCTTATACTCTTAATAATATTTTAACATTCAAGAGTATTGTGTATTTGTTTCCTTCAATAAAAATTAAGATTACATTATTTTAAAATACATAAGACCTCTGTAGTTGGCTCTAAGATTAAGTAGACAGAAATTTGTTTACAGTTTGCATAATGCCTTTGGACTAGAGGAATATGAGATTATAAAATAGCCCAAAAGATATTGGGTAACATCCTTGCCCCATTGAAGTCAATGGCAAAACGCCCATTGACTCACCTGGAGCCAGGATTTCATCCTTTGTCTCTTGATTATTGACATGAAGAACACATTACGGAAACAACCAGATGATTAAATGCTGCTAACTCAGTGGTTGCCATTAAGTAAGATTGTTTGTATAGAACTTCATGTTTAGAATCCTATGGTACAAAAACCCTTTGCACACACAGATTTCTGATGGATAGAACAAAGGAAATATTGAACATCTGAAATTAAAGTTCCATAGGAATAGAAGTAAAAAAGAAAATAAACAAACAAAACATCCTCATAGCTTACATCATTCCTGGAAGCTCTGGTTCCTCCATCTTGGTGCGGTTTCTTATTGTTGTTTTAATGAATCTAAGTAAGCTTTTTTCCAATCTTTTTAAATAAAAATGTACTTTTGTTTATTCCTTTCCCTGGTTCTAGGCATCTCTTGTATGGAAGAGAGCATACTTTGTGTTGGGCCTGTCCATGTTTGCTGTTTTTGGCAGCCTGTACTTTGGTTTCCCAGGATCAGGAGGACTCTGCACACTGGTCTTGGCCTTCATTGCAGGCATGGGATGGTCCAGTGAAAAGGTGAATATTTAGATACCATGCCTCATGGCCAGCTGAAGTCACTTTAAATACACAGGGTCAGATTGTGATCTTGGATGTCTGGAGGGTGTTGACCAGAACCTCTTAAGGGCAGGAGTAAGGTCACCTGGCTATAAGGCAATGCCCATGCTCATGTGAGAGAAGCTAGAATCAACTTATTAGTGCATGGTGGATATATTTCTTAAAGAGCGCTTCCCTTTATTTCAGTCATTTAAAAAGAGTTTTATTAAATAAAGTATTTCTGCAGATTGGTGCCTAACAAATGTGGTTGCGTTTGCCACTAGTCAGTATGCATAGGATAATAATGGAGAACACCTGTAAAACCCTTCAGCTATCACTGTGGAATGTTTAAATGGACACACTGGCAAAGACATTAGGCGTAAACGCTGATGTGCCTTAATAGTGATCCCATCTGGCAGTTTTTATCTTCAGCATCTCGGGGCTATGTAGTTTGAAAGTGATTTATATATGTGCATGTAAGTTTAGATGCAGTTATATGAGACATAATACACAGAGAGAAAAGCTCGCTGAGATACAAGATCTTCTCTGGCTGTGTTGAAGAAACAAGTCTCTGGAAATGTAAAGATATAAGGAAACAGGGACTTGGTGTTTCTTCCTGCAGATGCACAATATCCTGCTAATAGTACAATATGTACTGTCGTGAGTGAAACATCAAATTAATTTCCAGTACAGAGTCTTTTCCCTGTTCCTCTAGCTGCAAAACCCTTCTTTGTATAAGAAAGCACATGGCAAAGGGCTGAGCAGTACAAACACACTTTCGCTCCCTCTGTTTAGTAAAAGGAAGGTAATTGCTAGAATTATGACTTGTACAGGCATAGTGCAATTTTGCTTTACCAAAATAATTTTGCCTTCAAATCATAATGGGCTATGTCTGCATCTTGGCAACCCCATTGCATAATTTTTTTTTCCTTTTTAAAAATATTAATTTTGCAATACAATGCAGACAAAAATGGACACAGAACAATATCTCAGTCAATCTCATTTTATTTTGTGATGAAATCAAATGTTGAGGCCACAAGGTCCAATTTTTGTAACTTTACAGATTGCACCCCTTTCCTTATAGGTGGCTGTGGAAGAAATTGTTGCAGTCGCATGGGACATCTTTCAACCCTTTCTCTTTGGTTTAATTGGAGCAGAAATATCCGTTTTGTCTCTCAGGCCTGAAACTGTCGGTAAGACTACTCGGAAGACAAATAGTTTTGACTAGAGTTTTTGCTAGCTATCCTGCCAAAGGAATCACTACAAAACAGCTTGTAGTGACTATTGGCCTACAGGTTATGGCATAGCTATACAAGTTTGTTTCCTTTGTTTTACCTGCCCTAGACATACTGCAGCAAATCCTCTTGTGAGCATCTTACTTCTATAGCAAATAGAGTTTGCCAGTGGTGGGTTGCTCAAGTCCTGCCTACATCTCCTCAAGTTCTGAATAAAGTCTGAGTTTTCCAGTCAATACTGCAGAGTTAATTCTAAGCAAAGTACTACATTATGGGGAAATCTGAAGCTCCTTACCCCAGCAAAACACTTGACTTCTGTGATAGTTTTGCCTGAGAGAGGAGTGCCAGATTGGGCCCTGTATGCTGAAAACATCATTTTCACAAATGCACACTCGCATCGCAAGTGGTTTTAAGTGACAATGGCTCTTTCAAGATAACGTCTTGCATTATCTGCTGCATTGGTCCTTGTTGTCTGAAGTATATCCTCCACACTTTAAGACACCACATTATTACTGATTCACTAAAAATCTAGCTTTATAAAATACCTCTAAACATACGGTATTGGGTCATTTCTAATAGTCTGTACCTTGTTTTTCTAATTTTAAAAAAATTGACACAGAAATGTTGTTAATCAGCAATTTTAAAAGCTCGTTCTTCCTCAAATATGCCCGCCATTTCAAGAAGTTCTTTTTCTCTCTGCTGTAGGGCTTTGTGTTGCCACACTGGGTATTGCCTTAATAGTACGAATCATTGCCACATTCCTGATGGTGTCTTTTGCTGGCTTTAACTTCAAGGAGAAAATATTTGTCTCATTGGCATGGATCCCCAAAGCGACTGTCCAGGTAGAGTATGCAAGAGGAGGAATGACAGGATCATAGAAGACACTGTGGCTGATTCTTCTCTCTCACCCGTTTTAAACCAGTCAAAATTCATTGACCACAGTAGACTTATTACTGATTTGTGCGGGTGTAAGTGAGAGAAGGGTTAGGACCATTAACTGATCTGTGTGGGACTCTGACATAATGAATTCTGGGTTTCCGTACTGAAATGGGCAGGGGAGTTGCAACACAATACTTGGGTGCATGCTGCTGTTCACGCCCCTGTGGTTCAAGCTCCAGGGCAGTGTAGACATAGCTTAAGTTTCCTCTCCAGTATCCTGTGGCTCCCTTCCCAGGCTGGCAACAGAGTTTTCAGTCTCTCTACATACTGTTAGAGCAGAACATCACTTTCTTGTCAATAGGACAGAGGCCACAAGTTGGCTCAGAAATTCCACTTGTGTTCTTCAGCTTCATTTTGGAGAGGCAGCATGACCAAGTGGTTAAAACTGGGGACTACTTGCAGTCAAGCTTTGCCAAGGTCTTACTCTGTGACCTTGGGCAAATCACTAAACTTCTCTGTGCCTCACTTTCCCCATCTGTAAAATACTTACCTGCATCACATGGATACTGGGCCAAAGCTAAGAAGGGTAAATACCTCCTGCAAGATGCCATAATTCCCACTGAAATCAATTGAGGGTCCTCAAGTCCTGCTGAAGTCTTGCATCTTGTGATGTTCTGCAAGATCAAGTTCAGTCAGAGGCTATCCTCATTAAGTGCTTTCAGGCCTATCAAAGGAATGGCTAAATAGAAGGTTATGTATTATTTGCATTTTATGTTTGGAAAGTGCTTATGTGATCCTCCAGGGCAGACACCTATATAAGTATAACACATTAAATAAATGTACATTTCACAGTTTAGACACAACGGCAAGGGCTTTTTACTACTTGAAATTTCAAGTGTGTGGACGTAGGGTCGCTGCTGTATGTCTTTGTAAAATGCATGAGGAGCCCTATTATCCATTGGGGAATCTCGTGTAGGAGCAGAGGGGTTATTTGAACTTGATATTTGACACTTGTGTGACCACTGCTAGGATACTGTGCCCAGTTCTGGTGCCTACAACTCAAGAAGGATATTGGTTAATTGGAGAAGGTGTTCCAGTACCGCCACACAGGTCCTGCACTCCTGTCCTCTCATGCCACTGATTCTGGTTTCAGTGACCTGATCACTTGCAAACAGAAATGAATAAACAGACCAGAAAGAAAACATATTGGCAGACTAGATAGGTGGACATTTTAAAAAAAGAAACTGATTACAGTGAGTAGAAATCCCCTTTGACAATCTAGGAGATGGAGAGAGATGGCAAAGTAAGGTGAATGGTGGTTGTTTCAACCCTTTCTGTCTCCTTCATCCTCTAGGCATTTTCTGTGTCTTTCATTCTGCCATCCTATAGCTTGTTTCCTAGTTGAGCAGAGACACATGGTACCTCAGCAGTCAGGACTAGATTCCTCTGAGTGCTGCTTTTCCAACCCTTGCTTTCCTTCATCTGCCCTTTAAAAGTGAAAGTACGTAGTGACATCATTTGAGCAGCAGAAAAGCTAGGCTAAATATGCATCTGACCCTGAACTTGGACTTCACTGTAGCTTTCTAAGCAGCCAGGAAGCAAACTATCAAACAAGGGAATGCACCTCTCCTTCCATCCCTTCCAGAGAGGTTTGGTTGTCATGAGGAAAGTCTAACCATCTATAAAGCTTACTGTGGGTGGTAAAACAAACTGTTTTACAGCAGAGGCCCTAGGCTGAAAAGCATATAACTGTAAAAAGCATGTGTGTCCAATATCAGTTTGGACCCAAAATAAATGTCCGGAGCCTCAATTTCAGTTCAAGTGTAATAGGCCTATCTTGCATAATGTGGTTAATTAGTTGGGGCTGAAGTGTTTTCCAGGTGCTTTGTATACGGCTGTACCTGTTTAAAACCTACTCTGTGACAGTCCACCATTGAAGCTGGCAGCTGTGATCCTCAGGAGATGCCATGGCTGACAGTCCCAAGGTGAAGTTTCCAGGGGCTGAGGGCAAAGCTGTCTCTTTGGAAGGCCCTGGCCTCTGGGACCTGCAATCCCCAGAGATGAGACAAGCCTGAGTTTTGCACCTTTTAAGGCCTATTCCAAGAGTCATGACCAAAAATCTTAAAAATTACTAGTGATTCTGGGTGCCCAAGTTAAAGTACAAATCAAGCCCCTTAAAAGGGTTGAATTGGGCATCAAAAATGGTAGCGCCCAGAAGTCACTAGTCATTTTTGAAAATGTAGGCTTAATTAGGCCTTCCCTCATAATGGAGTAACATGAGGCTCAGCAATGTTCTTCATGGAAGACAATCACCAAGGGCAAACCCTCTTGAAAAGGCAGCTTAAAGTAGAACAAAGAATGAAGGCCATTCTTATGATGTAACCCTTAACCTTGTATATGGTGCTTAAATCTTATGGTGTTGGAAGTGTTAGAAATGTAAATAGATGACAGTTATTTTGAGTAAAAAGCAGACATCCCCCTGACAGTGAGAATGTATGCAAGCTAACAATGCAATGGATGTGCACATGTGCACTCACAGAGAACTGCAAGTGTAGGATTAGACCCTTCATTTACCTCTTTAAATGCAAATGTTGTTGTTCCATTTCAGTGTTTTCTTTAACAACATTTTTCTTTCTCTGTAGGCAGCGATAGGTTCCCTTGCCTTAGATACAGCCAGAGGTCATCAGGATGAACAGCTGGAAAAGTATGGAATGGATGTGTTAACAGTGGCATTCTTGGCAATCCTGATCACAGCTCCAATTGGAGCGCTGGTTATTGGCCTGGCAGGGCCCAGACTTCTGCAGAAGGCTCAGATAAGCAGTTGTGAAGAGGAGGAAGGTGTTGGAGGAGGAGGAGGAGAAGAAGAGATCCCTGGGCCCGCATAGGAAAGAAACGGTGGATAGTATATTGGTCTCACAGCTGCTGCTACTAGTTACTTAGTAAACACAACGTCTGTATTGTTCGGAAAGAAACTGAAATAGGTAACAATCAGTTACTGGTCCTAAAACAGCAGCCCCCATGTTCTGCAAAACATTTTAAACTGTTGATAGAGCCTTATGAGGAAAGATGACAAGAAATAAATGTACACAGTATGTAGGCTGCCTAGATGATGACTGATGGGATAGGAAAATTGGTCTTTGGTTAGTTGATGAGCGTGGGTGTAAACACCACAGAAGAAGAACTTTTCAAGGTGTACAAGTGGAAGTAATGAGATGAAATTTGAACAGAAGAAAATTTAGAGTGAACGTCAGGAATAACTTTCTCATGTTGAGATTAGAGATTGGGGAAGGATGTAAGAGCCCCATCCCTGGAGCCACTTAAAGTTTGACAGGAACATGCACCTGACAACTGGTGGACAGTGCATGGAACAATCCTGCACCTAAGACGGAGATTGTCAACCTTGTCCCATCTGGAACCCCAAAACCTGTGTTTTCGTGCTGTGATCCACCCAAGTCTCTTGCAGTCCTTCGTAGCTGCAGAGAATTGTGTGATTCAGTCATAGCAAGAAACTGCAGGAGCATTTGGGTGGTGAGTGGGTGCACTGGGGATTGGGGTAGTGCTTGTGGGAGTTCCTTGCTGGAAGGCTGAGTTTGGAGCTGGCATGGGGGTTGACTGGAGGGGTTGTTTAGGGTTGGGATGGCTCCTACTAGGGATGTTTCATTTTCTGCTCCCTCCTGCACACACACAACTCAGTCCAGACACTCGAGCGAACCTGGCCAAAGAGGTGGCTCAGCAGGGATGATGCCTAGGGGATGGAGCAGCCTCACGCTCCCTGGGGGCAGGACCCGGGGTAGGGAGGCTGCTGTGGAGCCTGGAAATCACTTCCCCCCCCACACCACTCCAGAGCTTAGCTGAGGGGTGGAGAGGCTTCCTTGTGTCAGTGCTGTGCCGGGCTTTGGCACATGCAGGGCTTGGCTCCTCCTGGCTAGCGCCCCGGGCTGGAGGGTCTTGGGCTTTCCATGACTGCCATGGCAAGTGCAACTATGGAAAGAAAAAGAGTGACCTAGAGAAGCATTGCATGGAGCAATAGAGAGGAGCCAGATCCATCAGCGTGACGCTCAGAAGCCTGAACAGACCAGCACAAGACCAAAATGAACGGTGGAAGCTGGTGGATGCCCTGCACACCAGAGGAAAAAGGAGAAGAAAGAAATATTTGCATGTATCTCTCCCTCCCACACAGTTTTTACAAGCGAGGTATATACTTATCAAGGTTTGTTAGCATGGGGTGATGTGGATCTTAATAGAAAGGCAGGTTCCATATGGATTAGAAGTGCAGTAATACCTGGAAATGTACATCTTGATTGATTCTCCTTCAGAAATATCTCACCAGGGGAGCAAAAGGCTTACACGTGGGGTTTTTTCCTTAATTTTGCTTAATACAAACACTAGGCTTCTTACTGTTGCGTCAGTCTTTCCCACACATTCAATACAATCTCATTCAGATCTGATTTCCAAAATAACCTGTTACAAATTGTATCTTTCCTCCCCACTTCTCAAGCTGGAAGCAAGCCTCCAACAACCACTCCTTTCTAATCAAGGTCAAAATCTGCTCCTTCCATTGGACCTGCCACCAGCCTTACGCCCTCAATCAGGTGTGTGGTATTGCCTGCTGCAGTGAAACAGTGCCTGAGGTTCTGTTCTCAGTGCCCCTTTTCCCAGCAGAACTTCAGAGTGGTTGATGAACATACCTCTGACTGGAGTAGGGAGAGCTGCTCCCCTACTCCAGTCAGAGGTATGGAGTCCTTAAAGCATCTTTCAGGAAGAGAGCATCCTATATTATTTTTTAATTGAGGGAGCACTGGATTTGAACTCCACATTGGTGTTCAGCTGCCTGCTTTTACTAACAATACTGAATTGTTTTTATAGTACTGTATACTCTTGATGTACCCAGAGATTTTGGGCTCCCCTTAATATTGGTAGGGGTTTAATCAATTTTATGTCCAGCGCTTATGTTGTTAACACTAAGTTTAAAAAGGAAAAAAATCTTTTCTTTAAAAACAAAACAAAAAAAGATATAGCATTGTGTGTGCGTACATGTATGTGTGGGTGTGATATACTCAAACACAACAAAAAACTTCAGTAAAATCCTGTTAAGGTTGTAGAGTGCGCATAACATAAATACAACCATAAAAAAGCCAGAAAACTTAATCAAGTTTTCATTTAAACTATGTAGTCTACAGTTTCAATTCACCACCTCCATATGACCTCGTAACACTTTCCTCTTCTCTTTTGCACAAAATGTGTGACCTTTAACTCTGACCACATTTGAAATTATTAGAAATTCATGTTTTCTAACTGTTTGGAATGATGAATTGGTGCTGTGCTTTTTAGTAGATGGGTAGCGTCTTTGCTGTGGATTTGTAGTTGATGGCTATGTTTGTGTGTGTGTCTGTTTTTTTAAATAGCAGTAGTTTTAATAATTGTTTATCACATTTGGAAGTTGTTTGTAGGTGTATTATTTAGTGATGAAATTAGGAAATTTGGTGGTTTTTCCTGTAGTTCATGTCTGTGCTTGGAGTTAAGGTTGTACGTCTTACAGGGAAGTGGAGAGAGAAAAATCAACTTAATATTTAACTTTAAAAGATATGTAGCAAATAGAATTGTTCTTACTCAAAGGGTTAGTGTGCCAAATTTGGAGAATTAATGTAATTAAGAAATAGTCCTTAAGCTTTAAGTGCAAATCACGACTATAGAATCAGTACTGAAGTCTCTAATATGCACATCACCTGTGTGGAGATGTCTGTGATAAACTGCAGAGCCATCTGATAAATTGCATTTATCTCCTGCAGCTTTGACAAACCTCACTGCACTTTAATTTATCTCTCTTTAGGGGGACCCACTTCCAACCTTCTGAATATCTGAGCAGCTACATTCAGCCCCAATATTGTCTATTTAAAAAAATAAAATAAAAATAAACTGCCAGCTAAATGTTTCCTCCTCCTCAAAGAAAAAAAGTTAGTTTTTCCTAAAACTAAACTGACCCATGATGGCTGTATTAAATCCTGGACCAGTGACAGGTATACAAATATGACCTTGCAAAACTGGAGTTTAAAACGTTGTCATGGGGGAGGGGAGGAAGAGACTACCTGCTTTCCAAAGGGGATATAACCTTTGTTTCTAGCCCTAGTAAGATATTCGGATATTTGGACCTCGAAGTCATGATTTTTTTTTAAAATATGGCAAAAGGCTATTTAGGATATTTCTTAAGATAGTTGTTAAATGTAGGAGTTATAATTTCACTTTCCCTCTTCTTTAGGATGTGTCACAAGTTGATATCTAGATTGTTTATCCATTTAACTGCTGCATCATTGAGGGCAACAAGGTGTTGCAGTCAGTCCACTTTCCAGTCTTCTGATTGTGCACTCCTTCACCATATGTCTGATCATCTGCATTGCTGCCCCGCAGTCACACTGTGAAGAGTGGGCTGAGCAAAAATTTCTAAACCATGTCAGCCCCTTGGCCATTCCAGTCAGGAGTGCATTAAACCTAGTCCAGTATCTGCATCTGTGGCTAAAAACAGGTAGATATATGTGAGGGCTTCTGTCAGCATGCCTGACTCTCTATCTCAGAGTTGTTGCCACTCTGCAAGGACGTAGCTGTTGGCCCTGATATGCTGCTGGTCATCTGAGACTGGCATTGGGCTGGCAGCAGTGGACATGAGAGTATGAACTGCTGCTGCAAAACCATGTCACAAAGTCAGTCATGGCGCGTTGTGGAGGGACATGTCTCTGCCTTCTTGTGGCATTCCCCAGGAGTAGTGTCAAGTGAAATGAAAGGAGATAAAAGGTGGAACATAGGCTCATGTTCTAAGCATGCACTTTCCCTCTGACTCCTGTATAACTGGACTCATGGTAACTAATGCCCCCATTCAGCAAAGCACTTAAGTGCATGCTTAATTTTAGTATGTGCTTACGTGCTTTGCTGAATAGAATTGGCCTCAAGCACAGGCTAAAACTATAGGTTTTTACCAACAAAGGGATTAATGAAATAATTCCAATAATAGTTTTTAAAATCCTTTCAATATTTCTACAGTAGTTTCACATTTACAGAGTACATAATGCTGTGATGTGGTATCAAGGTTTTATTGACATTGCTGGAGTTATTTGCATAACTCACTCATTGCTCAGCCACTTGTAATGCATGCAAGCTTAGGTCAGTAAAGCCTTTTACAACATACCGTGGCATCTTGTGTTCCCTGTAAACAAAATTAATGCGCAATTAAAAGAAAATACAATGGAGTTTTATGATGCAAACTTCTTATATGAAAGTGTAAAAGCAACATTTGCGGGTAAAATTATAGAAGCCGAATAAGAAAACCCCTAAAACTGATGTTTTGACAGCGTGGTGTGCTCTTGATATTCTGCAGTGGGTGATATGTGTTCCAGGCTACCTTAGGACAGAACACAGGAAAACAGCGATCAGCTATGTGGACTTCTGGCATTTACAAAGCTCTGTAGTTGTGGCGGTGATATCAATATAAGGAATTACTTGTCCTTTTTTTTTTTTTTTCTGTCAGATTGATAGCTTTTGGGGGTGACTGATGCAAGAAACAGATTATGAAGCATACAACTTATTTTAAAAAATTTATAAAGTTTTAAACATTTTTACCAAAGAAGCACAAGTCATTTTTATAACCTTTGTATTTTTTTTAAATATTTAAAGATATCACATGCTATGCCACTACATTATTTAGAATTAAAAGCATTTTGCTAATAATAACCCATTTTAATTTTACTATGAGGATTATTTTATTTAGTCCATTTGTAAGGTATCTAAGCTCAGTAGAAGAGAATGCAAACAATGTTCAAATATGACAACTGTAATAATGGACAGAGCTAACCACCTAATATTCTAGCAGGAAATCGGAAAGGTGGCTTTTCCTATCTTTGCATTAAGGTGTCAGATTTGATCTATTACTTCTGATCCTCATCCCGCTCCCATTGACTTCAGGGGTCCAAGATCAGTTCCCTTGTGAAGATAACTTGGACAGTCTTTATATGTGTGCCCTTATGTGTGGTAGACTTAAAGAATGTATAACTCATGTTTGTAGTTACGCATGCTAAAATAAGAATATCCTAGTCTCGTGCTTGGGGATGCAAACTGTTTGTCAAAGGGTCAAGAAGGATTTTTCCTCCAACCCCCATCTGCCCAGAAACAGCATTTTATGGTCTGCATTGCCTGCAGCTGAAGAGCCCACTACTGGTCCCTGCAAGAGGCAGGATCAGGTACAGGAACAGATGGATCTGGGTAGATGGCAACACCAATGGTTCTAATTTAAAAAATGTCTTGAAGAAATAGAACAAAGCTGGAGTTGTAGAGATCTAGCTGCAACAAACTAAAAAGCACAAGAGGTGTAATGTGGGCAGTGCTACTGTTGTCCCCTTCAATACAGGCTTCCTGAGCCTGCTGATGCATTTGATACCATTAGCCTTCATGTTGCACTGGTGCATTTATATTTCAACCTCCAGGTGGTGATAGGTTGAAACAGAAAGCCCTCTGTTAACTTGATACACTAATGTGAAATCATTCCTGGTTTAGGTTTTTCAACAATGACGCTTTCACACCAAAACTGTCTAAAGACTATCTTCAAATATTGTGGACTTTCTTTATTTTAGATTTGGTTCTGCAAATGCATAGCCAAATGACATGTTTGCATGTTCAGGAATACATGCAAGCATGTATACTTTTGATTTGAAGGTCTCTTCTCTAACAAGCTTGATCCAAAACTCACTGAAGCCTACCTATTGATTTCAGTGGGATTTGAACCAGGGCAGATGAGGCAGCTTTAACTTCACCAGTCTCTTGCATTTCAAAATCCATTAAGATTTATGGATGTCATGTCTCCTCAGAGCTTAAATTTATAAGTATCTTGCTGAATTAAAATGGCAACAGAAGCAGCCAGAAAAGGAAGTAGAAAAGAAATGACTGACTACTGCTTTCATATGCACTGACTGCATGTGTTCCAGGTGCAATACTCAATAAAGCTTCGTGCTGATGGAAGCAGCAAAGTGGTGGCTTGTCAAATACTTCTGTCTTGCTCTGTCTTTATAAAGAAAAATCAAGACAAACAGTTCATACGTGTTCAGCGGGCAGACTTGTAACTGGTTTAAATATCAAAGATACTTCAGCAACCTCAACTGACAGCGAAGAGGCAAAAGTACTTTGTCATGTATTTAAGTTATTTTAATGTGTGATTGCATTAGGTGCATGTTGTTTGCTACTCCTTCAGGTGAGCCTTTTGAGAGAAAACCAACAGATCTTGTAGCTCACAAAAGCTTATGCTCAAATAAACTGGTTAGTCTCTGAGGTGCCACAAGTACTCCTTTTCTTTTTATGAATACAGACTAACACGACTGCTACTCTGAAACCAGATTTTTGGCAAATAACTAACTTTGTGCTTCTTGCACTTTACCCCGATCTTCATTACAAAGATGCATACAATGTACTTCTCACAAATAAGTAAATCAAACTACTTGAATGCAAAAGTTTTGAGTTACTAGATAAAAGCTGAAATTACAAATGGACTTGTATAACTTAACCAGCCTCTTTTGATAGCTTGTGGATTTTAAGGGTGGAAAACACCATTTAAACAACCCAGGCCATGAATTTCACCCAGTAATTCTTCGATCAAGCCCAATAATTTAGATGTCTCTCTAAAAGCGATAGTCTAGTTCAAGCCCAATCTTAATTTAAAGATTTCAGTTCAAATTATTTTATTACTTTTATATAATAATTCTCCACTATTGACGCAATAGTAATTTTTAACTGAGTAGCTGGGCAATACACATAGTAATCTTAAGGCTCCTCTACACTAGAAATATCTTAAGTTCTAACTACACCGTACTCTGACACAATTTGATCTTGCCTTTATCAGGACAAGACCAAACTATATTCTGGAAAAGTATTAAAACCTTACAGTAGGTCTGTACTCCAGTTCCATTACATGGTTTGGTAGACCAAGTATGTTAACACAATAGCGTCCTGACATTTTATAAACACTGTCCTATAAAATGCCATATATTCTACTACAGCCAGGCCCTTTTAGCACCTCACACTAAATCAAGAAATGCAACCTGTTATAGACAGGGCCTAAGCTTACATTAGAAACATTGGAAAAAATGTCCACTGTTAGAGAAGCTGTAGTGTAGATAAGCTGCTGTCTAAATGCAGTATTTCTCAGGACTGTGTTGACATGAGATTGAGGATGGTATTGGCAGTCAGCAGGGGATTCCAAGATTACTAGCACTGGTTCAGCTAAATTGTTGTTAATGGTGAAAAAAAATCACTAGTATAAAGGGGGCCTTAAGGTCTAACTCTACAGAATGCAGATTGTGGCACTGTCATCTGTTAAATTAGGCTTTGAAAACTGACCTATAGTGCCTTTCACTGAAGGATCAAAACTTTTGATAAGCATTGTTGGCTAAGTAAGAATTGAAGACTGATAAATGAAACTGTGGCACAGGGAGGTTGTGACTTATCCTAGGTGGCCGTGTGATGGAGTAGTAAAGACAGGAATAAAGATCACACCTTGAATCCAGTTCTGTGATTTAATCAGCAGATCCTACTCCATCCAAGGAGCTGGGACTTTTGTATTGGGTAAAAGTGCATCATCTTGAGTATAAGAATTATCTGCAAGGGGCAAACTCCTGTCCTTGCTTCACAACTGCTGAAGTCTAAGTTTAGAGCCCTGAAATAAGGGTGCACTGTAAGTATTGCTGCCTAACCTCAACAGTGACTTAATTTGAAGACAGTCTAGGATTACTGCACAGACCAACTGATGTGGGCATCTGTACTCCCTCCCGCCATCGGAATACAGACAACCTATGTTACTGTAATGTTGGCTATTAATTTTCTTTTTCCATACTCTTTGGAACAATTTTTTGTTCCTCTGATATGGCTCCATCTTACAATATATTTTGTGCAGAAGGTCAGGGTGGAAGGACTGGTATGGTAAAAGGAAGTTAGTCATTTACACATAAATTAGGCCAAATCCTCAGCTGGTGTGAATTAAAATAGTTCAATTGAAGTGGTGGAGCTGTTACACCAGCTGAAGATCAGACCCACTAAGTAGGACAAAAACAGGATTTTTTTTTCCCCTGAAAAGCAGTCTTCGGTCGTTCTTAACAGCATCTCAGCCTCTAATAAAAGCAATGGAAAGATACACATCTGGCCATTTAAGAGTAGTATGGCTTTTATTACATCACGTTCATCCTGAAAAGATTAAGTTGTAAGATTGGGAGTGGTCACTGTTCAGATAAAAAGGCTTATTTACAAAGATGTTTACTTTACAGTTTTACATAAGACATGATTCTTCAGAACATACAAAGTATCAAATCACAGACCTAGGTTTAGCACTTGCCTATAACTATAGGTTAAACCAAAAGGAAATCTACAGCAACCATTAGACGTACATAATACATTGTGTCCTGCAACTACGAGTGTATAAATGACTTCACATCAGTCATGATTTAATGAATTAGAGATTCTCTATACTTCTTTCTTCTTGAGTATTAGTGGACCCACATTATCGCCTGTCAATTCATTGTGTTTGTTGTGAGAGCCATCACAGACAGGGAACTGGAAAAGACAAGAATGATTAGTGTATTTACTATACAGCAAGCAACTAAGACAAGTGGTGGTCGTTTGTGTAGAGGATAATCCATATAGTTGGAGTGAGATCAAGACCCCACCAACGCAAACATCAACAAAAAAGTCTATAGGTCAGAAATGCTCAGAGTATAACTTAAGAAGCAAATGCAACACCTCATCCCTTAAATTAGAGCTGTTGCCACTCCTTCCCTAAAGCGAAAGGATAAGGGACAATGTGACCCAGCTGCAGAAATGATTGATAAATAAGTAGCAATTAATCTTAATTTCTCAGATAAGATAGGGATACAAGAGGAGACAGGGATACAAGTTTATGATTATTGTATATTTAATAGATGAATGAAAAGTCCTTTCACTTCCAGCCAGTTGACAAGGTAGCTCTCAGTACTAAAGTCTGGGCAGCTTTAGACTAGATACCTTTTTTCTGCACAGAAGTATACGTACGCATTTAAATGTGCCAAAGACAGCATGTTGCATCAGGGTGGAGCTTAAGAGCATTTTACAAAGAAAACATTTTTTTTTTTAAGTTTCCTCCTATTGTTCTTTTCCAACATCCAAGCAATCCCTATCATCCATCAGGTATATCACACTGGTCAGTCAGAAGACCACTGCTGCTGAAGAATTAAACTCCGTACAATAGCCTAAAACATTACAAAGAGTTGTTTGTTTGTTTTTTAAACACATTCTCCATGACAAAATAGCCCACTGGAGGAGCAGCTAAAACCAGAGGCACCCAATGTACTTTAAGGTTCATAGAATCATAGAATATAAGGGTTGGAAGGGACCCCAGAAGGTCATCTAGTCCAACCCCCTGCTCGAAGCAGGACCAATTCCCAGTTAAATCATCCCAGCCAGGGCTTTGTCAAGCCTGACCTTAAAAACCTCTAAGGAAGGAGATTCTACCACCTCCCTAGGTAACGCATTCCAGTGTTTCACCACCCTCTTAGTGAAAAAGTTTTTCCTAATATCCAATCTAAACCTCCCCCACTGCAACTTGAGACCATTACTCCTCGTTCTGTCCTCTGCTACCATTGAGAACAGTCTAGAGCCATCCTCTTTGGAACCCCCTTTCAGGTAGTTGAAAGCAGCTATCAAATCCCCCCTCATTCTTCTCTTCTGCAGGCTAAACAATCCCAGCTCCCTCAGCCTCTCCTCATAACTCATGTGTTCCAGACCCCTAATCATTTTTGTTGCCCTTCGCTGGACTCTCTCCAATTTATCCACATCCTTCTTGAAGTGTGGGGCCCAAAACTGGACACAGTACTCCAGATGAGGCCTCACCAATGTCGAATAGAGATCATTCCAGAGTTGGTCAAGTTTTGATGAAACCCCCCTTCTCCCCACTGGAAAATGCTGTTTCTTCTAAACGTTTTGTACAAAAGTATCAGTTTTAACACTTCATTGGGAAGGTTTCACAGGTCTAGATTGAAATAAGGTCAAAATGAGAGAAATCCACTTCTGAATAGACTGCTAGTGAAGGCAGTCACTTGGCCTGTGAGTCCCACGTTAATCGCTTTTAGGGTTAAAAAAATTGAAAGGTCTTGTTTGAGGTGGAACAAAAATTAATTTCTGAACAAAAATGAATTTAAAAATCTGGAAGTTTTTCATGAGATGGAACTGTTTTCTGTCCAGCCCTGGTTTATTCCAGGAATAGAGCAAAATACATAAAGGAAAAAGACAAAATTTACTTTAGTTTTCACCAGACCAGGGGTTCTCAAACTGGGGGTCAGGACCCCTCAGGGGGTTACGTGAGGGATCGTGAGCTGTCAGCCTCTACCCCAAACCCCACTTTACCTCCAGCATTTATAATGGTGTTAAATATATAAAAAAGTATTTTTAATGTATGGGGGGGGGGGTCGCACTTAGAGGCTTACTATGTGAACGGGGTCACTAGTACAAAAGTTTGAGAATCACTGCACCAGACTAAAGGGTGGCCGCTCTACTTATTGTGCGCAGAACAGACAGTCAAGTGGCTTGTAGGTGTCTAAGCTCTCCTGCATATGTAGGTTTAGAGTGGAGAAAAAGAATTACACAACTCTTAGAGAACCCATGAACCTGTCCAGCATCAGGGTGGGAGTAATGTGCTCCAATTCACAGAAAGCAGAACTGGCAATAATAAAAAGTTAACTCCATAGCCCTATACCGTTGCTATAAAGTACCTTACCGTCTTAGAACGCCAACACCTGCAGTAAGCTGCTTTAGTGAGGCACAGATCTTCAATGTTTATTTCATTTACTACTTTGGGATTTTCCTTCTGGATCTTGAGGTTAATCAAGCTATCCTTCTGCTGTTTCCTCCGCAAGAAGAATGGACGAAGAGCCAGATATCCAAGTAGTGCCAGGACACCCAGGAACGGCAATAACCGCAGCCATTCTGAAACTAAAAAACACACTAGACTTATATAGAGCACTAGGATTGTGAACAGCATCAGTTACACTCAAATGGCACAGCAGCAGCTCTTCCTGTTTGATTTAGAATGAGCAGGGAATCGAGGCTAACAGATGGAGGGGACTAGTGAAAATGGAAAATAGAGGAGGAGGACATAGGTTTCTGGAGACAGAACAAAGGGTAAAATCCTGGCTCCATGGAAGTCTAGAGCAAAACTCCCATTGATCTCAATGGGGCCAGGCTCTCACTCGTGGTTTAAGATTGATGCAGTAGAGGAAGGGGAATCAGTGGAGAGATCAAACCATGATTAACACTAAATGAAGGCTCCCTAATGCTTTACCTGCTCCCTCAAATTAGCCTTGGAGCATTTTCTAACAAATATAAGAGGAACTGTTAACAGCATAAAGAAAAGGAGTACTGTGGCACCTTAGAGACTAACAAATTTATTTGAGCATGAGCTTTCGTGAGCTACAGCTCACTTCATCGGATGCATAGAATGGAACATATAGTAAGAAGATATATATACGTACAGAGAACATGAAAAGGTGGAAGTAGCCATACTAACTGTAAGAGGCTAATTAATTAAGATGAGCTATTATCAGCAGGAGAAAAAAACTTTTGTAGTGATAATCAAGATGGCCCATTTAGACAGTTGACAAGAAGGTGTGAGGATACTTAACATGGGGAAATAGATTCAATATGTGTAATGACCCAGCCACTCCCAGTCTCTATTCAAACCCAAGTTAATGGTATCTGATAGTTTTGCCTGTTCTGTCATTAGCATATGTGATGGCTATATGAAGTCTTGAGTACCTTCATTCCAGCAGGGAAATTGGCAGAAGAACTGAGTGAATCTTTGTTTAAAATCCAAATCTGCATTAATATTTCAGTAGAGAAGTCTCTTTCCAGTCAGCTTGTCCAGAGTTGAATTGCATCAGAAGGTCTAATCCTGCAAGGTGCTGAGCATCCAATTCTGACTGACCCAGTGGGAGTTGGGTGCCCCGAACCTCAAAAGACTGGGCTCAGAGTATGTATGGCAAGAACCAATGACCTAGTCGGAGAAGCAAGCCTTTCAAGTGTACCTGATTAAAGTAAGTAGTGGTACCTTGTGGACTCAACTACTGTTCCGGGATAATCTGGCATCACCTCACCTATTCTTTCAATTGCCAATAGCAGAAACAATGCATCCTGAAAATAAGGTCTCAAGAACTTTCTTAGGAAGTAAGTGATCCTGTGGTCAGGTTTTGCAGCTAGGAATTATGCCTTAACCATGTTGTGTGCTGACGCAGCAGGTGTTACGCATATGACAAAATGCTGTATGGAAAGCTTTTGTTCCAGAACATGAAGATTTGGAAATCAAACCACCACTTAAAGGATTTTAATACATTTTTTTTAAACTTGTGAAGGTACATTTAGTAAGAATGCAGTTGGCATAAGAAAAGATTCTCTCCTCTGAAAGAATTTTTCAAACAACACATTCAGTAGACCCACTAGCAGAGAAGGTGAGTCTCCTGGCCTCCCCAAATCTGTAAGATCTAGTCAGAGCTCCAGGACAGATAAGATGCACACATGGGAGCACTACAGACCAAAGTAGGGCACTTACAAAACATGTAGCACACTCAATAAGACTAAACACACAGAGAGAAGAGGGGCCTCATCTAAAAATGCCATTAGAATCAAATGGCATTAAATAGATTTTTGAACAGTGATTTGCATCTTAATATAGCACGGAGAACCTCAAGCCAAGCTCAAAGACAGAACACTTAGCTCATCTAGTAGGCATGACTGAGGAACAAAGTCTCAGCCCACTTGGTTACAAACACACAGAGAGGAAACACAGAGAAAAGACCAGTAACAACAGGATAGGAAGCTGTTATTTATTATTTGTATTGTGGTAGCAAAATGTGGAGGGTTTTTAGCTTCACTAGCCAATGACTTCTGCAGTATATAAGGGACCTGGAGGCTTTCCAGAGAATCAAAACAAAATTCATGCCGCCGTCCAAGCTCTCTGGAGGCTTTCATCTGCTTCCTGTTCAGTCTGGAACTGTTCCCTTGATGCTGGAGACATCAGTTCCTCATTGGATTGTGGACCTAGGCTTGGTCCCTCTGGAAGCGATGTAGGGGATGGGGTTGTTTGCGTTGACTGTGAACCGCTCTCCGCTGGTTCACTATGTTGGGGTTTAGGCTCCGGCTGAGCCTCTTGTGTAGGGTTATCGGCTGCTGCCAGTTCAGGATCAGTGGGGCCCTCTGGTGTTGGTTGTTCCGCTGGTTCCAGTTCTGGGACCGACTCTGCCTGGGTCTCTGGGACTGAATCCACTACTGCTGTTGCAGACGTTGGCACGGGGTCCAGTTCCATCACCTCTGACCGGGTCCTGGTAGAAGTTTCCGGAACAGAGCTAGGCGTGACGGCTTGCTTAGCCTGGCTGTGGGTGACCATTCCCATCCTCTTGGCTAGCTTCACATGATTGGCCAAGTCTTCCCCCAACAGCATGGGGATGGGATAATCATCATAGACTGCAAAAGTCCACATTCCTGACCAGCCCTTGTACTGGACAGGCAACTTGGCTGTAGGCAAACTGAAAGAGTTGGACTTGAAGGGTTGAATTGTCACTTGGATCTCTGGGTCCATTAAATTTGGGTCCACTAAGGATAGCCGACACTTGTGCTCTGGTGTCCCTCCATGCGGTGACCTTCTTTCCACCCACACTCAGAGTTTCCCTCCGCTCTGAGGGTATCTGGGAGGTATCTGGGCCTGAGGACCTCTGGTGTGATTCTGGTGAAATGAACTGTAATCTGTTGGGGTTCTTGGGGCAGTTGGCCTTTACATGCCCCAGCTCGTTACATTTAAAACATCGTGTTACATTTAAAACATTAGCTGACGTGTCACTGGGGTGAGGTGGGTTGCTGGAGAACGGTGTGGCGGGACAATAAGGTGTCTGGAGGGTTCCTTGGGGGGTAGTTGGGTCCTTGGGCTGCCCCCGGTGGTAGGGTGTGGTCTGAGGTTGTCCTTTCTGGTATCCGCTCCAACTGTGACCAGTTTTTTTCTTTTCTGCCACCTCCACCCATTTGGCTCCAATCTCCCCCACCTCGATTACAGTTTTGGGCTTCCTATCTAGGACTCATGAGACAAACTATAGCCACAGAACTTCCACAGGGATACCCTTTAATACATCTTGAAAAACTGACATGCAGAGAGAGACCGACTTTCATTTAAAAACAACTTTCTAGCCCCAATGCTTACAAAACACATTTCAAATTTGAGCTCATGCAGTAATGTCTTTCTGAGCCTACAAGCAGCTCCATTGCTTCTGTAGCTACACATAGCTTTCTGAAGCAGATGCAACAAAATTAACAATATTCTGTTCACTGATGCTATTCAGAATTCTGTAGACAACACAAACATAAGAATCAAGCCAATTTCACAGTGCTATTGCTTGGGAAAGCTGAGCATCAGAGGCAATCACTGGAGCTATTTATGAGGGAATCCAAAAAATAGAGGGTGGGAAGGGGGTAGAGTAACAAAGACAAATCTCTGTCCCGCCAAAGAACACAAGAGAAGGGAAGAAGGAAGAGACCAGAGTTTCCTTCTCCGTCTACAATCAGAAAGGGGTGAATCTTCAAACTTATACTTCTGCTAGCCAAAGACCAGTCCAAAAAGTGGAGGCCCTGGGGAGTGTTTAGGAGTAACATGACAGGAATCCCAACTCTCGCCCAAGAAGCTGGGGCATAGGCATCTTACCAGGGTGTTGCCACCCTCTCTATTTTTCCCCTTATCAGTTTCTGGGAAGTAGATGTCCACTCATTTTTTTTTCATACTCACACTTTTTAAGTTCCCTAACAATAACAAGACCCTTTATTAGATGTGAACGGAAAGAGAACCCTGACACTGACAGCCTAACTAAAGTGAATGGCCACAGCGTACATTGAAGCATCCACAGCTAATATTCTGTCCTCTCCCTCTCATTTGGAAAAGAAAAGAAAAAAAGTCAGGTGGAAGGAGTGTGTCAGCCAGAGTGGTTCTTGAGTACAAAAACTAGTGTTCATATTAAAACTGAGCAGTAGAGGTAGCTCTGTTGCCTTTTTTAATTACTTTCTAATATCTGTTTCAAAAACTAAATCACGTATGCACTAGTAGGTGCTCACTTACTACTGTAATTATTATACCACTTTCTAGTCTAACTGGCTACAGAGCAGCTCATCAGTAAGTTAAAACACTAAACGTGTATGAACTATCCACCATTCAGCATGCAACGTGCTATTGCATTTGGATTTGCAGTGACTCCAGGCTCTATGCAAATTCAGAAGTTACTTCCTGAATTATGTTTGCCTCAAAGTTAACTAGCAGGGGCCTTTTCTAACAGATGATTGTACTGCTTCCTGTTTTTAGATTCAGTCAGTCAATGAGTTCTCACTTCCATGCACTCTAAACACAAAAAAACCCTCTAATTTTCAGATTCCCACGAGATAACTCAGCAAGTTAGGTGGGGCAGGGAGAACACAGTCCTGTCAGTGTTGGATCACAGTTTTAAATAATAAATTAAGAAACCCCAAATCCCCTATTAGATCCACATGCAGCTTGTCATCCTACTATGTAAGATGACAAGGTCAGAGATTCACTCAAGTGGTCTGTGGAGGCTACTTCTCAATGTGCCCCTGACTTCTCTATCCCATCCCCTTCACCCCACACACACTTTCACAGCAACTACAGGAGCATATATTCTGAACAGAGGTGGCTCAAACATTTGTAAAAGAGGCTTCATAAGAATGGCCTCTTCCTGTATGGGATGCTACTTAGGTTACCAATAGCCCCCTTAGTATAGAGGTTAGATGGAAAGCCCACAAAAATTGTGCCTGTGGCCCTCCACTGAAAAATTAAAGTATAATCAGTACATAATTCCTACAAGGAATTTGATGCTTATCTTACCTCACTCATGAGCACGTCATTTTGATGTACAGATAAAGGTTGTCTATATATTGTATATATTTATACT